TAGTGATGATCATATATAAATCTGTTTGGGGAGGTGGGAGTGGTCAAGTAGGGTGGAAAAAAAATGTTTCAGACTCTCTCTTAAAACAGTCAAGTTGCACTTGTGGCTTTGACAAGCTATGATTCACAGTCCCTTCATAGTTCAGCTTTTCTTCTCCATCTCTGAGTGTGGTAACTGTCTCTTGTTTTGTCTTTGCCTCTGAAGCCATCAATCCATGTTTACAAAACATCTGCCACCATCATGCTCAATGTACATACCTGGGACCAAATCGGCACAGTTGTACATGTGAAGAAGGCTACCATAGGGATGGCCAAGTGTGCTTACCGGTGAACCCCTGCCAAATGAACTTTGGAAACTGCCCTACAAAGTCGACAGTGTGCAAATACGATGGGCCTGGACAGGTGAGTTAACAATGCATGCAGCTGACGTGGCTGGTAGAAATAGGACATCCACCAAAGCTAACATTTTGCAATAAGTGAAATCGCCCTCCCATTTCTCCTTTTCAATGCTCAATTTTGGCTTTCTCTCCAGAAGCTCATGGCCCCCCATGTGCTCAGGGGTCCCCCAGACCTCAGTGTGCCTCCATCCCAGTCCCTCCTCTGAGCTCACACTTTGCCAGCTTCCCAGTGGAAACTTAACTGTGTTCTCTTCTATCACAGTCCTGTAAGGTGACTGACAAAATAGACAAATAATCCAAAATGAGTGGACGTCATGGGTTAATACATGATTAACTTTCACCTGCAATCCTCTATTCTCTTTGATTTCTTCCCAAGTCAAAAGAGGATTCTTAGAACCAAAAATATCCTTACCCAAAAGAATGAAAACTAGTAAAACATTAGGCAGCACTGACAGATGGTAGGGAACAGTGAGGATATTCTGGGATAAGACACTGTCCCTCTAAGTCACATCATGAGCTGGACTACTTACCTTGACTTACCACCACACACAGGTACAAATCAGCCTAACTGGGAGACGTTGGCTGAGGAATCCAGTTGAAAGATCCTGTTCCTTAATATCTCATTTACCCATCAAATATTTAGGGGGTGCCTACTGCGTCCATAACTGCACATTGAGTCCTGAATGGGAAATCTACTTTATAGAAGTATATTGCTGTACGGGTAGGAGGAAGGCTTTAGTGCCTGTCATGGATTGAATTGTGACCCCCCAAAATATCTGTCAACTTGGCTGGGTCATGATTCCCAGTATTGTATAATTGTGTACCATTTTGTAATCTGATGTGATTTCCTTATGTGTTGTAAATTCAATCACTATGATCTAATAAGATGGATTAGCGGCAGTTATACTGACGAGGTATACAAGATTGGATAGTGTCTTAATCCAATCTCTTTTGAGAAATAAAAGAGAGAAGCGAACAGAGACACATGGGAACCTCATACCACCAAGAAAGCAGTGCCGGGAACATAGCACATCCTTTGGACCTGAAGTTCCTGTGCTAAGATTCTCCCAGACCAAAGAAAGACTGACGCATCACAAGGACCTTCCTCCAGAGCCAACAGAGAAAGTCTTCTCCTGGAGCTGATGCCCTGAATTTGGACTTGTAGCCTACTGGACTATGAGAGGATACACTTCTTTTTGCTAAAGCCATCCACTTGTGGTATTTCTGTTATAGCAGCACTAGATGCCTAAGACAGTGCCCAATCCAAACACAATCATTTGTTCCCAGCAGTCTAATCAGTACCCCAGGGAGAATGTTACTGGAGGCCCTGCAGAGAACCAGCCCAATCTTGCCTCCAAGGAAAAAGAGTCTATCTCTCAACATTTCCACTATCAATCCCTGAGACAGGTTTGCAGAGGAATTGAAGGGGTTGAATTCCCATCCTGAAAATCCTCAAGATGAGGATCCTTATGGGAAAGGTCATGTTATATCCTGAGCACCAAGACCTTGGGAGTGAGATTAGAACATCTTTTGTCTCTTTAAAAATAGGTCCAAAGGCAGATTTTCAAGGCCTAGGAAACCTCCGTTGTTCACACAGAAGCAATGCACTGCATTATTCCAGGACAGATTTCTCAATCTCAGCACTATTGACATTTTGGGTCAGATAAGTCTTTGTTGTGGAGGGCTGGCTTGCACAGTAAAGGATGTTTAGCAGCATCCCTGGCCTCTGTCCAATAGATGCCAATATTACCACACCCCTCCAGTTGTGGCAATCAAAAATGTCTCCAGACATTACCCAATGTCCCCTGTGTTGAGACCCTGGTTGAAAGCCGCTGTTCTAGAGCAACGACAACTCCATCTGAACCTCAATCTCTGCTCACCTGTAGATAATCTAAACTATGGAGCCAGGGAGGCGAAGGGTTAGAAAACAAGAAAACTGGAAAGCTAAACTTTGAAAACAAAGTGTATGAGCTTCCCAACAGGTGAGATATGTTGATATGATTTCCACTTCTTCATACTTTGATGGTACTTTAGTATAAGCCCACACTTCAGACCTACTTTGAGTTAGTTTTTATGGCAGAATAAAGACAGATTAAAAATGAATATCAGCTTAAGTGACTAACTGGAACCCTGTTTGTTTTTCTCTCCCTGTTGCCTGAAGTCTCACTGTGAGTGTAAGGAACATTATCGCAATTTTGTACCTGGAGTGGGGTGCAGTGTGACCGACATCTGTGAATCAAAAAACCCCTGTCATAGGAATGCAAACTGTACCACCATTGCACCAGGCCGAACCAAGTAAGTCTTTCCAATTCCACATCATCTTTTCCAAGTGGTTAAAGTGGTGGCCAGTAAATGCTATAAGTTCCTCGAGGGGAAAGAAATGTTTCTTATTCAGCCTTGTATCCACCTTCCACCCCATATAACATAGCACAGTGCAAGGAACATAGTAGATACTCAATAAATCTTTGCTTAACCAAAGAATAACTCAACAATTATTTCCTTTATAATGCTATTAGATCACTCTAGAACATTGGCCTGGCCTGAAAACTTGTTCTTAAATGGTCAGAGCGTGGGAGAAGGAAACCGTTGTCACTGGGAAAACAAATGTCTGTTGAGATTACAGGGTTTGACCTTTAATGTATGTGCCCGTTTCCTCATTCATGAAATATTACCTGTTAGTAGTGCAAAACAAGACTTGGGAAAGTATATAAACACTAGGGGTATTTCCTGGACTCTGGGTTTAAAATGTCTGTGAATAAAACCATTTGTGTGAAAACTCCAAAGGCAAAGGCAGCTCCCACAGTGGAAAGGGGAGGATATTTGAAGTTTAGAGACCTGGGTTTGTGGAAAAAAAAAAAAAAAACAGACCTACTGGACTGGTTGAGACTGGACGACTCCCTGAGACTGTCGCCCTGAGATACTCTTCAAACCTTGAACTGAAGCTAACCTGAGATCACCTTGTAGATTAATATTAAATTGGCTCAAAAAATAATGAATATCACCCATAAATACTGTGCTCCTTTAAAAAATCGCCTATATGAGAACTAACAGTCAACAATTACTTTAAAATAAAGATTAGAATTGTAAGGGGGCAGGGAAACTAGATGAACGGAAACAGAACCACTAGAATGGAAATAATGAGACTGTTCATGCATTGTGAAGAATGTAACCAATGTCACTGAACAACTTGTATAGAAATTGTTGAACGAGAACCTAAACTGCTGTGTAAACCTTTACCGAAAACACAATAAAATTTTAAAAACCTGGGTTTGAATCCCAGCACCACTACCTTCTAAATGCATAACCTTGAGAAAGTGATATCATCTCTCTGGCCTTTGTTTCTCCATCTATAAAATGGCCAAAATAATGTCTGCTTCATAGGGTTGTGGCGAGGATTTTGTGGGAGAACGTTTCTGAAAGCCGTTTGCAAACTACATACAGTTGTAGTCCACGTACTGTGTTGTATTGTGTTGTGTGGTCTGTTTTTAGTAATGGCAGAACTGAGGTTAGAACCCAAGTCTTTTAGCTCCCAGACCAAGGTTTCTATCTCTGTACCACCCTCAGTTCTCACTGTCATCAGCATCTGTGAAGGACTCATACTCCCTTTGTGAGATAAAAACCATAATAGACGTTGTTGTTGTTGTTAGTTGTCATCACGTCAGCCCCAACTCATTCTGACCCCATGTACAACAAAACAAAACGTTGCCCAGTCCTGTACCATCTTCACAATTGTTGCTATGTCCAAGTCCATTGTTGTGGCCATTGTACATTTTGAGTGCTCATCTTCCAACACTATACAGGACAATATTCTGTTGTCATCCATTCAGATATCATTGGCCAATTTTCAGAAGTAGATCACCATGCCTATTCTTCCTAGTCTGTCTTAGTCTGGAAGCTACACTGAAATCTGTCCACCATGGCTGACCCTGCTGGTATTTGAAATAGCATTGGCCTAGCTTGCAGAATCATAGCAACACGTAAGCCACCACAGTATGACAAACTGACAGATGGGTGGCAGATAATAGACACTGGACTATTTAATTATAGGACAGTTTCTGTGCTTCTGCAGCCCCATTTTACATTATTTGAACTTCATTCCTTTTACAGTTGGGTTTTGAATGCATGAGGTTGCCCAGACATGTTTTATGATTATTATGTTCTAGCTGGACAAATCTTTATTCATGATGGGTGAAGCAAAAAGTGCTCAAGTATCAGAATACCTGGGTTTAAATCACAACCCTGCCACTTACCTTAACCTCTCTGAACTGATGTTTCTTCAACAATTAAATGGGGAGAGTTGTACCTCCCACCAGGACTATGATGAGGATTAAATGAGATTCCATTTGTCAACCCCTGAGCAGAACCTGGCATGCAAAAATCACTTGATACATATGAGTGCACACACACACACAACCATGCATATATGCACATATGCACACAACATGCATACATACACATGTACACACACCCTCAAACACAGATTCTGATAATACTGACAACCCCACAAGCCAGGCTGCACACTTGTTACTATCCTCTGAGAAAGTTTCAGTAGCATGAACAATTTCCTTCCTTTGTGTTTGAGAAGATAAAATCTAAAAATGAAACTGGAGCATCAGAAAAATGTAAGCTGCACCAAAACTTATGTTTAGAATGTCAATGGAACCAGCAATGAGTTTTAGGGGCATGTCATCCCAAAACCTCCTCTTCCCCCAAAAGAAACATTGCTGGAAAGAGGACTAGGTGAAACACTGACTAAACTACATTGATAAAATATGGAGCCAACAGTCTTCAAGTAATTTAGTTCTTGTAGGATAAAGATGTATTTTGTTTATGTATCCTCAATATGGCAAGTAGTTTACGTAGAATCTTAAAAATCATACTGCATTAGTCACAGACCACCCAATAAATAATAGATTCAAATCTGGGCTCTTCCACGCCCCACTGTGGTGACCTTGGACAAGTCACTTGACTTTTCTGAACCACAGTCCCCTCACCTGTTAAGTGGGGCTAAATACTAAGAACATCTCCCTCCAAAGAGCTAATGAGTTGATAGGTATCAACATGATTTTTTAACTCTAAGCTCTATTTTTATTATTATCACGAGTACCAAATAGCTTCATGTCTGCTAAAATTGTGCCTTTTTTTACATATCGGTGCACTTTTTTTATTGCACCTGTCTCTTACTTGATTTAATTCAGCTGGAAAGGAGACTGGACACAACTGACAGACACGTTGAAAAAAGCATGGTTCACATTCCAACTGCATAAATGTACAATAAACAAAGCTGAAATTTAGAGACTCCCAGAACTTTGATGACATTTATGGTATTTGATGTTTGTATAAGACTTGTACAGGTTAAGATGTCCTTGGTGAGAACAATCTTCCCAAGAAGATGTCCTTGATGTGAACAGTCTTTCCAAGAATCATGTCCAAGACAACATGGTGCAGCGCCAAGAGCAAGGTTTGCAGACAGACCAAGGCTTAAATCCCGCTTCCAACTGTGTTCCCAGCAGTACCGCACTCAGATTTTGGCAGTAGGGGCCCCTGCCCTGTCCACCAAGTTTTAGAGGGTGCCATTCTGGCCCTCTGCTGGTCACACCCAGACAAGGAGTCTGAAGGACTAAAAGGACATGCCCTCCCAAAGCCTGAGCCTCCCTTCTAGACCACACCCCAGGCACCCAAACCCACCCGCTGCCGTTGAGTCAATTCCTGCTCAGAGCAACCCTATAGGACAGAGTAGAACTGCCCAATAGACTTCTGAGGCTGTAAACCTTTAAGAAAGCGGATTATCACATCTTTCTCCCACAGAGTGGCTGGTGGGTTCAAACCACCAACTTTTCAGTTAGCAACTGAGCACTTTAACCACTACACCACCAGGGCTCCTTCCCAGGCACTCAGGACTCTATCATTTCCACCCAAATGGCTCCAAACCAGCTTCCAGAGCCTGCGTAGGCTCTTTCTGTGTCCATCCTCCCCAGGGTATAGCCATGGGGTGGCTGTTTGCAGCAGATGTGGATGAGCTTAGATGAATAGGCTGGGGTGTCCCCAAGTACGTGTGAAACCCCTCAAGGTGCAAGAGGGAACTAGAGGTGGAAAAAGAAGGGCAATAGACCGAGATCCAGGCTCCCTGCACCCTCATGTTCCAGCATAGACTCCAGTGAATCTGATAATTCTAAATTCAATCTTACAGATACCTGGTAAATTTGTTAACTGAAGGGAAAAATATATTTTATTAAACAGTTTGTTAGCATGATGTATACATTTTAAATGTTTAGACATATGGTATAAGAGTCTCTGTTTGGACTCTTGACCATCCCTTCAAATATTGGGAAGAAACATTTTCTTGGATGAGTTATTAGCTTCTCTGAACCTCAGCTTCATCATCTGTAAAATGGGAATAGCAATGCTTGTCATGTTGAAGGTTGAATGAGATGATTATCAGAAATGAAATTATCCAGATGAAATTTCATCCACAGTGCTGCTAGGGAGATCTTTCTAAAACATACATTCAACTAAGCATTTCCTTGTTTAACATCCTCCACTGGATCCCCCAAAGTGCAGGATGGAATAAAACTTTCATTGCATGTCATTTGAGATCCTGCTTGATCTGGCACCATTATCTCCACCGTTCGCACAAACACACCCTTGGCTCTAGTTCTACTGAACTACTTACTGTCACTGAGCTGAGCTGAGAAGGCAGAGCTGAGAGGGCTGAGCTGAGAGGAGAGCAGAGCTGAGAGGGCAGAGCTCAGTTGACAAAGCTGAGCTGAGAGAGCAGAGCTGAGCTGAGAGGAGAGCAGAGCTCAGTTGACAAAGCTGAGCTGAGAGAGCTGAGCTGAGCTGAGAGAGCAGAGCCGAGCTGAGATTGCTGAGCTACCAGGGGTGCAAAGTAGCCCTTACAACAAGCCAAACTGAAAGTCACGGTCAAGGCTTTAATCATTTACTTCCACAGTATAAGCAAAAGGTCAAACCTGGAGAAAGGTGACATCTCGCCTTGTTCCATACTTCCCCAGGAACAGCCCTTCAGGCGAGGGCCAGGTGGATCAGCACAGATGGGGGAATCATCTCACTGCTGAGGAAGCCCCGAAAAAAAGGCTCTGCACTTTTATGGACCTTAGGGCAGTGGGGAGGTGGAGGGTGTGGGAAGAGCTAGTAGTGGAAAAGTACTGAGAACTGAGTCAGAGTGGGGAAGTGTCTTCACGGTCTCCCTCTTTCCTTTGATAAGAAGGCTTCAGCAGAGGTGCCTGCAGAAGGCCTTTTCAGAAGACCCTGGTAAAGAGGCCTCCATATTCAGG